CTAAAGCTTATTCGAAAGTGATCTTTTTATTCATTGTAAAAAGTTTTTTCTTAAATTTTTTGAAATAATGAAATATAAAACTTGATGTCACAAGGAATAACAAATTTGTCTGAATATGGCTTCCGATATTCGTTTTTAAGAAATCATTAAGCAAAGTAAGTAACACAGTAAGTAAAGTCGCTATTTTTTCGACTGGCGGTAGTAGCGAAGATGAAAGACATTTCATATGTATAAAAAAACTTGTATAAACACATTAACACTTATGGAATATCTTATACTATAAAAGTGAAATAAATTTTCATAACAATTTTCATAATGGTGAGCACTAATGTGCTCATGAACATAATTGCGGAGAACTTAATTAGTTTGCAATATCAAAATATGCAATATCAAAAAATGAAATAATTAAGCAAGATCTTTTCAGTTTTGTTTTTAGGGCATTTAATATTTTAAATGAAATTACAGGAATTGATTGACTAGAGAAAAAAAAACAGGAGAAAGAAGAGAATCCTCATAATATAACAATTAACATAATATTAAATTAATATAACAATTAAAGCAACATTTACAATGAAGGCAAAAAGTATTCGTACAAGGAAATTTAAAAAAAAAAAGTCTTATTTGTAGAAAATAAAGCAATTTTATACAATGAATTCTAACATAAACAAACAAGCTTCGCATGTATTTCTGATATTATAAGCTTAAATTTTTCGACTGTATGAATACTTTTTGAGCATCCAAACAATGGAACTTTTAATTTTCGCTTATTTTTCAGATGATATATTTTCTATAATTAATTCACAATTAATACACATCTTTTTGGTATATATAATTTTAAGAAACATATAATCTATTTTATACTTTATGAATAAATTGTTATTACCCAGCAAGAAATAATCATCAATTAAACGTCGAATCGACGTCGAATTGATATTGAAATCATCGTATCAATATTGATTCGACATCAATCGATGACTCATTTCTCGCTGGATAATATTTAATTTTTAAAAACAAGTTTTTTAAAAATATTTTCTCTGTACGGATACTTTTTGTACTCTATATTTGATGAATTGCGTCGCAGGTGGACTGGAATATATTCTTATATGTGCTACTTTTGCGTATCGACTTGCGAGTTTGTTTACGCGGAAACAAGTTCGTCGAGAACTCGTAAAAAATTTACAGAAGACCAAGATTCAGACACGCGTATGCAAAAGTTTGTGCAAGTTCAAAGTAAAAGGAAGAATCAAAAGAATAAATATTAGATGTAACTCCATTAATTTGATTTTTTAATTAAGAGATTTTTTTAATTAAAAGATTTAGACATACTCTCAAATTTTCTCTAATTGGAAGAATTAACTGTAATCGATGTAAAGAAGTATTCAAAATGATATTGAAATACTTACATGGTCGTATCCAAGACTTTTTTGAGGAAAAGATTATCGATTCTGTCGTATAAATAATTTTTTGTGTTAATCAATTGCTTTTTTTGGATTTTTAGAACATAAAATATCTTCTTATTCCTAATTTTGAATGAGAAAAATATTAGGTTTTATAAGTTATAATTAATTTTTTTCCTGAAGAAAATAGAGACAAAATATGATTATTTAAAACAAATGTATATTTGAGAATTGAGTGCTTAATGGCTACATTTTTAGCAGAAAAAGTAATTTTGCAACTGTTGTAAGATTCTTTAATATAATTAGTTTATACTTTTAGATTCGTGAAGAATTAAAGGCAAAAATCAATTATTTTAAAGAATCTAACAACAATTGCAAAACTATTTTTCTGCTAAACATAGTCATTAATATCTCAACGCATATTCTACTTTTCGACTTAAAAACCTTGCGAAATTTTTCTTATGTATATCAAACAATGTCAAAATTCTAACTAATGCAAGTTCTAGAAATTATTTATATAATTGTAACAGGAAGAAAAAAATATTTTATGTGTAACAACAAAAAAATTTTTTAGAATGAAAAATAAAGTTATATTTTTTATAATTAAAAATAGAAAAATGAATAAAAAGTGATTTGGGTAGAAGTTTGAATCATTTCCTCTCTACTGGATACATTTATGATACTTGTTACGAATTTTTTATTTACACTATTTTATAATCGCAGGTTCCAAATACCTCAATTATAACATTCAGGTGATATCGACATTCGGCGCTTTGACGTAAATAAGTATAAGAACGCTATAAATTAATTAACCGTTCGCTATTTTTGCGAAATCCAATGGGGAATTGATCCACTTTAGCTCGTCGACTTACCTTCATACAAAATCGATATATGGCTATTTGAATAGAAAGCGAATGGTTACATGCTTTTAAGTATTTCCTATGAGGGGATAAATATTTTGAGAAAAATATTGGACTCTCTTGAAAGAATTTTTGAAATAAGTATACATATTAAGAAGCTGAGATTTATTGAAAAGTGGAAATAGAAACTTTTATTAAATTATTATTTGCATTTGATATAATAGACCTTGTTTTTACAGTTGAATTTCTTACACACTTTATTTTTTCTCTTTTTTTTCTGAACGATAATATATAAATTTAGCTTAAAAGAACGAGCCTATAAACGTTTTAGTTGCGCTTGATAACTCTTGATGACTAACCGAATACGTTAATATTTTTTTTTCTAATTACGTAGAACATTAACGGACAAATTATTTTTAAATTGAAACAACTAGAAATTAAAATGGCCTGATTTGTCAGCTATGTCTTATGAAATGACATCTCACGAGCGGATTCAATAATAGAATTGTATTATTGGAAAGATATGTTCATAAGAAATTTAAGTAAAGCAGTTGGTAGAGACGGGCTGTCAATTCTGTTTCGTGATACAGTACAATATTTACCGTTTCTTAAGAGCTTTGGGACTTTCGAGGCCTTCGAGATAGCTTTTCAAAGATTCAAAAACTTTCTTCATTTTTTAAACTTTCAATTTTTATTTAGAACTTGGAAGTCTCGAACGATCGATTATATACTGTAGATACTGTAGTTTCATTTATTTTTTACTTTTTTCTAAATTCTAATTAATAAGAAATACAAATTTAAATACAATTTTTTTAATTTTTAAACTAGATAGATTTAATTCTTCCAATTATAAAAAAAGCTGGAAAATTTAAATTCTTTTTAATCGAATTGGTAGAATTTATTCTATTTGTAATAAGTTAGAAAGTTTATTTTAATATATTTTTTATTTAATACCTAACCTTAGCTCTTAATTATTGAGAAAAAATTTAAAAAATTTTATTGGATATAAATCTTTCCAGACATTTGGGAGAGATTTTTAAGAATTTTCGGTGAGACAGTTCATTCGAAGTAGCGATTTGAAACTTTTTGTCTAAGATTTCTATCACCGGCTGTCGAAGATCGTCGCACTTGCGCGTTAAAAGCGACGTGTGGCACGTTTTCCTACGGACCCCCCGCGATGGTTCAGTGTGGCACCATCGGCGCAGTGTAACGTCATCCGCAGCCATCCGTCCAGCATCGCGAAGGACGGACAGCAACCGCAGCAGCCAGAGCAACGTATCCCGTGTGCAGCATCCACAACTGCGGTCCAGCTTTTTGCTGTATCTCTTGCTCTCTCTTTCTCTCCTTTTCTCATATTGCGTGTGCGGAGCTCCTCGTTCGGAGCGTGTCTCGGGATGCGTCGCGTCGATTAGTGGTGGTGAATCGAGTAATCCCGATAATCTCGTCCCGCCGCCGATATCAGGGGCAGGTCGAGCAGGAAGTCTGCGCGCTTGCTGGCCGATGAAGGCACGTAAGAGCCGCGACAAACGTAAGTCCTGAAGGCAAGAACGACCGTAAAACGAAAGAAAGAAAGGCTGCTCCGCGATCGAGCTCTTCCTCCTGCTTCCTCGCCTCGTGTCCGTGCGACACCGTTCAATATATGTGCCACTGCCGTTGACTTGGACCAGTCGATCGACTACTCAGCGGAGAGCGTCGTTGACAAGCAGAGCGACAGCCGGGGGGTGATAACTGCCGAATGCAGCACCAAGGTGCGATCAGCGCTCGGGTCCTCTCTTCTTTTCTTCTCTCCCACCTTTCCCACCTCTGTGGAAATCGCCTGATTATCTATTTGTCTGTCTATCTTGTCCGTTTGTATGTAGTAATCCCGTGCTCTATGAATGGTAGTTCTTGCGTAGGTCGGAGTCTAACCCCTTGTCGCTTCATCAGGATTGTTAATGTGTCAAAGGTCATGTCCATGTCGGTTTCGAGCCTTCGTTCGAGCCTTTGGATATATCTTGGGAGATGATATTTTTGGACCCTCTTTCTTTGATTTTCCAGGTTTCGCTTATCGATTCTCCGATTCTCGTTTAAATACTCGTCTTTTGATATTTACGAAGTCTTCCTCCTCCTTCATCGCACTCGATTCAATTGTGCACCTATTTCTCTATGGCGATGTTGTATTTTAAAATTTCAGAATTGAAACTTTCGAATTTTTAAATCTTCGCCTTTTATTAAGACTTTTAAAGATTTTATGTAATTCTTGGACCTCTGAATTCTTATAGCTTTTTTGAGGTTCTTGAATCCTCATTTTCTAATCTCTCTAATTAACTGTCTATTTTGATATAATATTTTCTATAAACGTAAAACTTTTTTTGCATCTAAATCTTAACTTTTATTTTTTAATTATAGAGTCTAGAATTTTTTAGAATTAAATTCTTTTTTTTTAATCTTATAGAATCCTCTAGATTTATACATATATATTTATAGATTCCTAAATTTTCTTGCAATGTAATATTTCCTAGTAAAAGGCAAAATTAGTTCTAGCACCTTATATGAAACAAATTAGTCTGAAG